TGTGTGTGTGTGCGTGTGTTTGAGACAGAGTTTCACTCTTGTTGCCCAGGCTGGAGTGCAATGGCACGATCGTGTGTGTGTGTGTGTGTGTGTGTGTGTGTGTGTGTTTGAGACAGAGTTTCACTCTTGTTGCCCAGGCTGGAGTGCAATGGCACGATCTTGACTCGCTACAACCTCCGCCTCCCAGGTTCAAGCAATTCTCCTGCCTCAGCCTCCCGAGTAGCTGGAATTATAGGCATGCATCACCATGCCCGGCTAATTTTTGTATTTTTTAGTAGAGATGGGGTTTCTCCATGTTAGTCAGGCTGGTCTCGAACTCCTGACCTCAGGTGATCCACTCTCCTCGGCCTCCCAAAGTGCCGGGATTACAGGCATGAGACTGTATCATGAGCCACCCAGCAGAATCTGTGTTTTTTAAGCTCCCCAGCATAATTCTGAGAGGCAGCCAGGTTTGGGCCCCACTGGCTTGGGGTGATGAGGGACCTGCTGCGGTGCCTTCGCTCTGATGCCCAGCCACTGCTCCTGAATCTCCAGAAAAGCGTTTGCTACTGTTATAGAAGGGGATTCAAGGACCCGTGGGCCAGCAAAATGCTGCAGGGGCTGTCTGGTGGCTGATTCTCGTTGTTGACCTGGGAACCGTCCCCCAGAGTCCCTGGGAACTCCTGTCCCATACTGGCCTGCTTCCAGACACCTCTGGTTCAGTGATGATATTTGTATGCCCTTTATTGAGGACATAAGCACGAGGTAATATTTGCCCTGAAAATCTTAAAAGAAATGTGGTTTTTGGGATTCTGACATCTGCCCATCTTTTTTGACCTAGTTCAAGTCTCATCTCCTATTTAAAAAAAAAAAAAAAGGCTAGGCACGGTAGCGCACACCTATGACCCCAGCACTTTGGGAGGTCGAGGTGGGTGGATCACTTGAGGTTAGGAGTTTGAGACCAGCCTGGCCAACATGGTGAAACCCTGTCTCTATTAAAAATATAAAAATTAGCCGGGTGTGGTGGCCGGTGTCTGTAATCCCAGCTACTTGGGAGGCTGAGGCAGGAGAATCACCTGAACCCAGGAGGCAGAGGGTACAGCGAGCCAAGATCATACCACTGTACTCCAGCATGGGTGACAGAGGGTGACTCCGTCTCAAAAAAGAAAACTCTTTGCGAAATACCTCAGCCCCACACCTGCTTTTCTGAGCCCTACAACACCTATTCTCCATATTTGACCCCAGGCCACCACCTGACCAGGTCCCTGGCTCCCTGGGGCTTCCCACTTTCCCTAATCCCTACACATTATTGGTGCTCTGGGGATTCGAAGCCAGCAGTTTAGTTTTATTACATGTGCTATCTATAGGAAATGGATCCCAAAAATGGATCTTCACAAAAGCCAGCCTGGGCCAGGGTCTCCATCGGGAGAGTTGATCTATTGTCCCTTAGGAGATCCACCTGGGGCACCGGAAGCTCAAGGACCAGGGCCCGTCATTCTCTCTGTACAGATGAGGAGCCTGAGCCCCAACCAAGGTCACACATGCCAGAGTCCCTACTCTTGTCCTCATCCTTCATCCACCCAGAAGGTGGCTTCTTGTTCTGAGTAAGCAGATTAAAGCAGGGGTGTTCTTACCTCCTGAGCAACTATTTCCCACCCAACAGGTCCTCTGAGAAGATTCCGCATGTGCCCCCCGTCCCACCCTCTTCCTGCAGAGGAAGGAGCTGTGGAGTCAGACCCAGCTCCAGCCCCCTGGGCTGGCCCCAGAGAGTGTGGCCTAGACAAGGCTCTGTGCAGTGGCAGATCAGAAGAAGGGGACACGATGTTCTTGAAAAGAATTGTGGTCAGAAAAATGACTGGGTCTCAAAGGCGCTTTGTGCTCAATAGAGCTTCACTCCAAGTCACACCCACTTCCCTTCCTGACCCAGGCGGGGACTCCACAGCTTGGGGTATAATGAGGTCCCAACAACAGTGTTTTCCAGTAACTCTTGATCCTGTACATCCCCTTTAATACGAGACCCTCAAAAGAAGA